GTAAGTAAAAAATAAAAAAAAAACAACCAAAAACAGTAAAATGGTGGTTACCAGGGGATGGGGGAGAGGATAAGATCAATGTTGTTTAAAGTACAAACTCAAACCAGTAGTAAATAAGCCTTGGAAATCTAATGCACTGTATAATGGCTATAAACAACAATATTGTACTATAAATATGTTAAGTGATAATGCTATAATAGCAATCATATTACAATATACATGTATCAAAGGAAAAAACCAGAAAAAAATGCCGTAAGAAAAAACATAAATGGGAGAGGAAAAAACAGACTCACTAAATTTGGCTGTGTAGATCTACTCAACCAGGGTAGATATCGGTGTCAGCTAAAGTATACTTTGATTCTTTTGATAGTTTTTTTCAAGAAAGGAAAGACCTGAGCATATTCAAACACATTTAGGAAAGGGCTGGTAGAAATGAACTGAAGATAGAAGGCGTGATCAAGAGAAGCACATCCCTGAAGACTAATAGCAACAGTAAAGTCTTATTTAGAGCCAGATACTGCCATTACATATTTCATACTCATGGCAAGCCTATGAAGTTATGCATTGTTACAATTTTCACTTTACAGAAGTCTCAGGACACTGCCAGAAGTCCCTGATCTACGAGGATATATGTATGCAAGTTCAAGTGCATGCTCTAAATTAGCATGTTTATACTACAAAGCCTAATGAAGCCTTGCCACCTTAAGGGAAAAGACATCTTTCCCAGTGCAATAAATGGTAGGTACATATAAATGTTAAATGAATGCAGGCCTGTGTTGTTCTAAATCACTATGCTTGTGTTTTTCTGCATTTCAGAGTACTACTATTTCTTACTGTAAATCAGCCACTATGTATTAATAATGCTAACCCATGTCAGTAACGCAATAGTTTTATTAAATATCCCTTCCTTACTAATAAAAGCTTTAGAAACACATAATTAGCGCTCTGAAAATCGTGTTTGAAGACTTAATGGGAATACAGACAGACCAAAAAAGCATGTAATGAAGTTACTGGTTCCTACAGAAGTAGAGAGATTGGGGGAAATCAGTAACTTTTTCAAAAATGACAGTGAGCTGGATCTTTGCTATTGCACAAAGTCCATAGTTAATAATCTCATTCTACTATAAGCATAATTATAGTACTTTTTTCCAAGGATAAACTCTGCAAGAAAAAAATTTAACTTTCTTCAAATTAAAGTATACAGAAATTTTAAATAAACTTATTGTCTATAAATAAATACAATAGTGGTATTGCTCCAAGTAATTTTTTTCATAAAACAAATCATCATTAGTTTTATAACAAATCACTAGTTAATAGTGTTTTAAAAACCTAGACTTTCCTATAGCTGGTTTTTAAAATATAGAGCACATGTGTTCAAAATATTTGCCAAAATAGCCAGACTTTCAAAGAGTTTTTAAGAAAATTAAAAGATGAACCAAAGACTGGAAAAAAAATTGTAAAATACACTTAAAAGACTTATATCCAGAAAAAACTCTTACAGTGATTAAAAAAAACCCAAATACTCCAATAAAAATGAGCAGGTGATTTGCATAGACATTTCAACTAATAAGGTACACTGACAGCAAATAAACACATGGAACATAAAAAGATGCTCAACATCATTAGTCATTAGGGAAATACAAATTAAAACCACAATGACAAACCACTACATATCTATTATTCAAAAAACTGACAATACCAAGTGATGAGGCCATGGAGCAAATGGAACTTTCATACAAAATGGTGGCATGCAAAATGGTTAAATCCACTTTGGACAATAGATTGGCAATTTTTTACTGTTAAACATATACTTACCACACATTCCAGCAATCTCAATCCTCAATATTTACCCAACAGAAATGAAAACATAGGTACACGCAAAGACCCATGCTTTATTCATAATCTCCAAAAACTGGAAACAATTTCAATGTCTATCAAGTGACTGAGTAAATTATAGTACATCCTTACTAAGAAATACTAGTCAACAACAAGAAAAAACTACTACATGCAATAACACGAATGAATCTCAAAAGCACTATGCTGAGTCAAGGAAATCAGAAACAAAAGGCTACAAACTGTGTAATTTATTTATAGGATATTCTGGAAAAGGCAAAACTAGAGGGACAAAAAATCAGATCAGTGGTTCCCCGGGGGCTGTTAGTGGGGAAAGTGACTGGTTACACGGGGGGCACAAGTGTCTAAGTCCATCAAAATTCATAGAACTATACAGCAAAAAGGCAAATTTGATTGTATGTATGTAGCAAACAGAAAATCAAAAACTGTAAGCATTTCTAGAACAGGACAGACAAGAGATTTAATAAAATCATCAAGAACGCTGGAAATACTGGAAATACTATTTTAAGTCAGCCCTTCTGTAGCACATGAAAAATTCTCAAAATTTTAATGGGAATATATGCTATTTTACAGCAACCTGAAGACTCGAGGACCAAGAATATCCCAGTTAAGTTCAAGTCTGTGTTGGTGTTCAACCTATCCAAAGATCTAGTTAAAAACATGTGAAAACATCATTAGTAATTCTTTGAAGGGTTTCCAAGGTTAGACATTTATTTGGGTTTTACAAAATAGAAAAAAGCCATGATGCAGTCTAAGCCTTAGGCAACTACAGACTTGTTTTTGCTTTTTTCTTAAAAATTTTTAATAGACTTTACTTTTCAGAACAGTTTTAGGTTCACAGCATTAATAGAAAGTAGACTGTTTTGTAAATGAATAATTACCTCTAAAATGAGATTAAGGTTTGTAGTGAGAGCCTGAACACGGTGGAAACCAGCAATCAGGGAAATAGGCAAGAAACCTTGCTCATCCATCTTTCTCCTAAGAAAGAAGTCCCGTTCCAAATTTTCTATACTGAAATAATATTCACTGAAAAGAGAAACAAAGAAGTAAACAAGTTTCACCAATCTATTCAATAGGAAATAAAAATGTCTATTGCTTATAGTATCAATTGCTATAGAACTATTTTATTAATAACATTATATACACTTAATACAATAGATAGTAAGGTAAATATAGTAACAACAAAACCCTACTAAGTTAGTAATTTCCCTTACACATAAGTAGAAAGAAATTTAGAATACCGATTATCTTTCCGAAAACTAACATTAACTTCTACCTATGTATGAAGAATTAACCAGCATTATACTTTAAAATAGTTCAATAATTGATTTTTTCAATGAGTCAATTCATTGAAAAATTTCCTTTCAAAGCTAGTTTAATTTACTTCATTTAAACACTAAATAAAAAAGCTAAACACATGTCAAAAGACTGCCTTCCAACTTTTTCCAATCACTGAGAATAATGGTATACTGGAAGTATTCTTTGTCAAGTTTACAGAGTAGTTTGTTTTGCTTTCTATAGTGGCAGGGTACTGACATTGTTTAATACTTCTGAACTTTAGCAATCAGCACAATGCTTAGTAAAAACTAAGCGTTAGTGAATACATAGGCACAGGTGTACACACACAATTTTATATTCAAATCATTCAAGATCTCCCCCTTTGATGGGCAGAACTATAAAAGATAGTAAGAGTGAACAGAATACAGCTAAACAAAGAATATATACAACACCATGAGGTATTTACATGGCAGGGAAATACAGAAGCAACTTATACACAAAGTGTATGACCAATAACTATAAGCTTCAAAATAAAAGATAATATGAAGAATACATTTAATAATGGCACTTGAGAAACAAGTGTTCAAATTCAGCCTGTGAATAGAAAAATGAGAACAAGATTCTAGACAGAGAGAACAAGAGGATAAATGAGGGAAAATGCAGAAAATACAAAATATATGACATCAAATGATATGGCTTACAGTTTAATAATCCTATACTGTTTCTAAATCACAGAGAAAGATTTCAAAGATGGGTGGCAAATTATGAGAAAGCACATCAGCTCATATATTTGGGTATAAGGCTGGATAGCTAAAGATACCCTTGAAGTATTTAGATCAAATTCTAATTTTGAACAAAAAAATCAACTACGAGTGAAAACTGGCTTTGAGCTACTTTCCACTGGGTGGGAAAAAATCTTATTTTAGAAATTTAAATACCCAAGTTGTTTCTTTATACTCTGATATTTACCCAACTATCAAAGTGCAAAGCTCCCTTACATCAGTGAAGTACTGCTGACATCTCAGTAACACTAGTAAATCATTTATCTTCTTAAACACAGAAGAAAAAAATCTAAGTCTTGAAGAATTGAACAATCTGATTTTTGTTACACCTCAAAAGCCCTTTTCACAGTGCCTGGCATGTGGTGGGCACATAATATGTGTGTTCTAATTTTTGTTATACTTCAAAAACTCTTTCACAGTGCCTAAAATGAGGTAGGCATATAATACATATGCTTAAATTCTCAATTTTCAGACATTAATACATTTGATTTAATCATAAGTTAAAACTGTTCTTGGACAAAAACTTCTCTGACTGTAAGATGTCTTTTTAACCTAGTACTCTGTGTAAATAAATTCATAAATCACTCTATTACCTATAGTAAATACTTTTTGAAACTTCTAGTGGGCTGCAAACATACTTAGGTCTAAATCTGAATGCCAAGAGATTGTCCCAGCTAGAAATAATCAAGATCTTAAATTTTTAATATCTTGACATCAAAAAGTCAAATTATTAATACACATCTTCAGTTAACATGACTTAAAAAACTCAATCATCCATAATACAGGTAAGCCTCTTACATCAAAATATTTTTGAATAATATTCCACAAGTGCAAAGAAGATTTTTAGTAACTTCTCAAATATGAAAATTTAAACCTAATGAATAAGCCTATCTATGTATGAGAAACTTCAAAGACACAGAATCAAAAGCATGACTCCTCAAATCCAGATGTCCAGTAATCAGAGAATGTAACAGTAAAGAGCCATTCTAAACCAGCCTGTTTCTCTAACATCTGCCAAAACTCTATTGCTAAACAATAACAACAAAAAAAGGAGTTATGCCCAATGCTATGTCTGACATTTTGTTCAGTGTCCTAGGGGACATTATCATGTCCTACCTTAGAAGCTCTGGATACTACACTGCATGATCAGAAATTTTGTCAACACTGAAGTAGCTCTGCTCCTCCCTCACTTGTTATGAGCACACTGGAGGCCGATTATCCTGACATGGAGTTGTATGTCTACTGTCAGGTTTCAGAAGGGACCTGGCAGCAAGAGTTAAAAAAAAAAGGCAGGAATAGTGCTCTGAAGTTGATAGCCACATGCCAGGCACTTTCTGCCCATTAAAAGGCCCTTTTCTTCAGTGTTTGCGTCAACTGTAACAAAAGAAGCAAGAATAAAATAAACAGGTTGCTTCATCTTGTAAGCCAATCAAATCCACCATGAAGGCATCCGAGGAAGATACCTGGCTGATGCTGATGAATAAATGATTTTCTAGTAACAGAGTATGGTCCATTTTCATTTTTAAATAAAGGTAGATGTTTTTAAAATGCTTATGCCCTTTCAAAAATAGCCTTTTTCCTTTCCCTTGTAGACAAAAAAAAGGTCAAATTTCAGCAAATTACTTGTGCAAATCACTTGGGAATATTTTTCTCAACACTACATAAACACACTATACAAATATGCAAAACCTCCTACACAATACTAATATTCAGAGAGGTTATTTTTCCTTAAAGATAACAGAATAAACTAACATTCTCCTAACCTCAACTTCAGTATTCAGGTAGTAACTATTATAAGAACTAGAGCAAAAAAGCCTAAATAATATGTCACAGAGAAAGAGAACTTAAAAGTTAAAAAAAAAACTTAGAATGCTGAAACTAACTGTTAAGAAAGCCAGATAGCAACATTTTTTGCCATTTATATTCATTTTCAAGTTTTAATAGAAACATTTATTTGCAAATAAGCCAAGTTTCACTTGTTCAATTTCAAATATATGTAGCAGTTTTACATTCTTGTATTTAATCACTCACATTATACCATGACATTACAATATTCTTTAGGCAGAGAAATACCTCAGTAGAGAAAGCACTATTTTTATGTAAATAACATGAACCAAATATGAGTTTTTAAAATATTTTACATATTTTACTAACATTTCCTAGAAAAAAACTACTAAAATCCTTCAATTTTACTAATAAACAGCTTAGAAAATGTGTTATATATTCATTGTCAATGACATTCAAGTATGATATTGCAACAGATTCTCCTATCCCATCTGTTTGTCTGTTCGACTTACATTTGGCGCTTAATATACTCTTTAAGCAATGCTTCTTCCACTGGATACACCTGCACGCCTGTACCATCATCATAGTAATACATCATACTGGTATTAAGTTCTGTTTGAAATGGTTGGTCAGACCTTTCACCATGTTCTTGATAACCAAATGAATAATCAAAGTTCACTTAATGTGAAAAAAGAAAAAGAAAAATAATCAGATTTTTTAAAAAGGAGGTACTATAAAGAAAAATCCAAAGTGAAGTATTTCAAAAGGTAACAAATATAAAACCATCTTTATTATCAGACAAATAAAATCAGTTAAAACATTATATGGGATAGTGGGGAAAACTAACAGAAGTCTTGCATACTTTTCTCGAAGTTCATCTAATTTAACAAAACAAGAAATTATGTCCTACATCGAGAATTTCCTCTGCCTCGTCCTCTTCCCCGACCTCGGCCTCTTCCTCGGGCTCTAAAAGAACCTCGGACATTACCACCCTCACTTCTCACACTGGAAACTTCATCTTGATCATCTCTCTTTTCTCTTTCACGTCTCCAACCTTTTTAAAATAAAAATATTTTAATACATTTCAATCTGTGACTATTAATAACATATTTATCTTTACGAAAATGTGGTAACCACTTCTCCCCACTTGGTAACTAGTTGTTAGTAACCAGGCATTCTTCAGAAAGATACAAACTTAAGAGATCCCATAGGAATTTTGTCAAAATGTGTCCAGCATAAAAGACATTATGCACTGACATAAGAAGATAGTCTATTAAGTCAAGTAACATACTACAAAGATAGTGAGATTGCTTGCTAAAATTGTGTTGTTCAAGATTCAGGAAGTTCCAATAAAAATGAGTTTTGCACTATATAAAACTCCTAAGAAACACATTTCCACACACACTCCGGTTTCTCTTCAGATCGAATAAATCTTTTGCCTTTTACATTTCCACAATAATAATAATTATTTTCACAAAATTTTTAAGGAAAGGATGTTTCTATTAAGGTAAAAGATGTTTCTTTTAAAGAAAAAGGGAAATGAAAACAAAACAAACTGGGAGAAGATATCTGCAGCACAATTACATTCAGAATGCATATAAAATTCATACAAATGTCACATGTGTGCACATGCACGCATACACACACTCACAAACCCACACAGAGCAACTTATGGGGAAACTAGCTAAAAGATAGGCTAGGGCAAACAAACAAATGCAAAAGGCCAATAAAAAATGGTGCTCAGCCTTACTAGCCTTGAGAAACGCAAATGAAAGAGTATTTTATCTGTCTGAAAAATATTTTAAGGTCCTATAATACCAAATGTTGACCGAAAAGACAGAACACTTGCATAAAGTTACTGAGAGTAAAAACAGGTACACTCACTTTGTTTTGAAACAACCAGATAAATATAAAGGTATGTATATCCTAAAGACCAGCGTTTTGCAACTGTGGCACTGTTGACATTTTAAGCTAAGTAACTCTCTAGTGTGGTAGGCTGTCCTGGGTACTGCAACATGTTTAGCATCATCCATGATCTCAACTCACTAGATACCAGTAGCATCATTACCTCCCCCTATTGCCCCGCCACCAGTTGTAAAAATCAGTGTTACCTCTAGACAATGCCAAATGTCCCCTTGTGGAGAAAAAAAATCACCCCCATTTAGAACCACTGTCCTAGACCCTGCAATTCCTCCTCCATTTCTTTCCTTCTTTTTTATACAGTCTTTTTCAAACATTTCTGCCTCAACCCACAGTAAGCCGTAGTATATGTTACACTCTAACACAGTATAAAAAAAGTTTAATTTAAACACAACTGTCATAAAAAACATGAGGCACTCTAGTCTATCAATTTGAGATACCTGATCATGACTCAGTACATCAAATTCATGACACACTCACGAGTTGCAGTCTAAAGAAATTACCCTAGAGAACCTTTTTTATGTGTCTACTGGAAAACATGCATAAAACTGTTCAATGTAGCACTTTAATATCAAAAAACTGGAAACAATCCACATGTCTATCAACAGTACAGATTTTATCAAAAAGTGAAATATCCTTCAGCAGGATAAAAAGAAAAAATGAGTCACAGCATTATAAGCCAACATGAACAAATTTAAGAAAATTCAGACTAAGTGAAAAAAATTAGTGCCAAAGAATATGTAAATGGAATAATACTTCATGTCAATTTCAAAAGCATTCAAAAAACTACAATAGACTTTTTTTCCTAAGAAGGGAGGCAGTGGGGTCAAACTAGGCACACAGGAATATGTCAAAGATAATGGTAACATGCATTTCTAAAATGGGTGTTAAGTTCCCAGTGTTATTATATTGTTGTTCTTTATACCTGTATGTATTTTCTTATGTACTCTGTACTTAACGTAACTACGAATATATTACTTTTAGAACAGAACATTAAAATAATGTATTGAGAAATAATGGTACAAAAGTCAAAAAAAGTCTTGATTTTTCTATCGGCAAGTTTTATAATTTTAAAGTCATATTTTGTGGACAACTCAGTGAATATACCTTATGACTAGATTTCAGATGCTATTAGGGAATTAGTGTTGATTTTCGTAGTTGCTATATTTTCTTAGGACATCAGTGGTAAGGTGTCATGGTATCTACATGTTACTTACAAATTATTCAGCAGGTAAATGAAATAAATATAGCAAAATTACTAAATCTAGATGGTAGTTAGGTATTCATTGCACAATTCTTTCACAGGATAACATGTCTTAAAAATTATGAGATGTAAAGGATTTCAGCAAAAAACTGTAAAACCAAATGCTCAGCGAACTGCTTCCACATATCCTCCTGTCCTCTTCTTTCTGAAACCTGAACAAACCCTGCTCAAATAAGGTATCTGGGGAATGATTCTTAATGGAAGTAATACTATTAAATGAAAGACCAATGGGACACTTTATGACGAATGGATAAGGCTAACAACACCTGAACGAACTGAACATTAACACTGAGACATTTTATTTCTACTGCTGTGATACATTAAGACACAAATTCAAAATATGGGAAATTTCACAAGACATAACCTAACAAACAGCAAAGGAAAGAAGCAATAATGGTGAGGACGTAAAATGGTACAACCAATCTGGAACAACTCCACAATTTCTTATAAAGTTAAATATACACTTGTCATACCACTTAGCAATCGACTCCTAGATACTTACCCAAGAAACTAAGACATATGCCCACACAAAGGCTTTTACACAAATGTACATAGTAGCACTACTTGTAACAGCCAAAAACTAAAAACAAGCCAAATATCCACGAATAGATGAATGAAGGGGGATACTCATTCGATGAAAAACTATTCTGCAATAAAGAGGTAGAAACTACTGATGCATATACAACACTGACGAATGTAAAAATAATTATGCTGAGCAAAAGAACACAAGAGTATATAATGTATATTGTATACTTCAATTCATATGAAATTCTGAAAAGGTAAATCTAATCTGATCAAAAGTAGACTCACGGTTAGAGGACATGGCATTAATTTGAGTGTATTTTAATATATGTAATTATTTGCTCAGTAAAGTTGACTTTTTTAAAAAAGGACCCAGAAACCACCCAGAAGAGACTCCCACTAACCAAATCTGGGACAATTTGAGCATCAAATTAAACAATCATGGTAACAGATTATAACATTGAAAAAATAAGAAGCCTTAAGCCCACACTAATAATAATGGGAAGTCGTTCTTTACAGTGGAATGCCACTGTATAAATATAGAAGGAATGATGCAGTAAAAAAGAAAATCAGCATTTGCAAAGATCATGGTAATAATAACTGAACCAGGCAAGAGTAAGAACCGTCAATGGAAAGAAACTAAAGTTCATATGGAAAGTCTGGTAAGAAAACAGGTATTCCCAGTTTCAAAGTCTCTTCTTACAAATTACATATTAATTATAAAGGGGGAAATAATGTCTTTCAGTAAAGAAACCTAGAGTACTTCATCTTAACACCAAGTGCTCAAAATATCAGCAATAAGAAGATAAACCAAGATCATGTGTATTTCCAAGTAATACACTGTGAAGAAAACCATTTAACTTTTGCAGTATTCCCGCCAAAAATTCATGACTCAAATCTAATCTTGAGGAAACATCAGAAAACCCAAAGTAAGGTGTCTCTACCACATAAGTGTCCTACAGTCTTCAGAAAAAATTAACGTCACAGAAGGTTACAAAAGCAGAACTATTTCAGACTAAAGGAGACTAAAAAGACTTACTTCGTGTATCATTTCTCCTATTATGTGACAATTTACTTGCTTCTGGTTGACATCTTGAGCTGTTCCGGGATCCTGGTCTTTCTTGACTGTCTGGTTTTACATCATCTAAGTGGAGTGGTACCCACTTGTGCTTATTAGCTTGAAGAAAACAAAATAAAATCATTTAATGACAATGCACAATATTCATTAAAGCTTTGCAATTGTGAAAAGACTCTAAATTTTAATTAAATAAATGAAAGACTTAGTTTGTCCTCAAGGGATTCTTTGTAGAGTACCAAAATTATTTTCTTCTTTTTCCACAGCTCTTTAATAAACTTGTTTGGGCAAACTGTATTTGTAAAACCAAATGAACAGTTAGTGATGGACTATCATTGGAATTCTTTTGCTTTTAAGTGAAATGTACATTCAATTCTGACGGATAAGCTATTCAAAAATACTAAATGTACACAGTACTCCCATCTAATACTAGATACTTAAGTGTTAGAACAGGGCACACCTGGATAATGGTTTGGCTAGTGATTCTAAACACTTTGAGCTTCATATGACTGTCTCAAATATCAGTTTGTCTAGCATACTACTGCTACTACATACTACTAATGCTCAAGCTTTCTCAAAATAAAGTTTATGTATAAAATTTTGTCTAACTGCATTTGATAAATCATTTTATAGCTACACACATTTTCCTAACTTCAGTCAAGAGACAGAAGCAATTTAATGTTTCTTGTTACTAAATGATAGTATAATTAACAGTTATACTAGTGAAATTCTGAAGATTATCTAGTCACGGATTCCATAGTTAAGGTTTCAAAATGTTCAGGCTTCTGCCCAATATATATTTTCAATAAACAAAGACTCAGGGCAAAGGAAAAACTACCCAAGTAATTAAGGGAGTACTAGTGTGCAACTATAGCATTGATTCCCTATAAATCATGAAACTATGGACAGATGAGGAAAAGAGACAATGAAAGAATCTAAAAGTTCTTTTACAGTCTATACTATAAATTCTAATCAATGAGATTCTCTGTCATAAAAAAGCCTTTGTTTTGAAGATAAAAATCTATGCTCAAAGTCACACCTTCATGACCTGATTATATGAAATAACTCTAACTACAAAACACCTGGACTTCATAGTTTTACAGTGTTGGGTGATCAGTTTTAAAGTTTTAATTGAAGCAACTAACAAGGAAGACATACATTAGCACAGGATAAGTCTTGTCATCTGTATGAATTCTAGACAGTCAAAAAGACTACTTATGTATCTGAGAAGTATGAAAGAGGTAAGTGATTAAAGTGCTTAAGAAACGTGGAAACTTTTTTCTAACAACCACTTGGTTGTCCTGCTGCCACCACTTCTGAGCAATTACCCTTGGCTTACTGTATCAAGTAAGCCTAATGCTTACCCTGCAGCTAAGGGTTATAATACTCATTTGCAAAAAATTCAAGTAAGTGCTCAAGGTATGATGGATTGTTAGTTCCATTACTAAAGAAGTTGGCTGGCAACTACTTAATTATGAAATGTCCCCTCCCATGCCTCATCACCTCCATGGATTAAAATCCTTCAATGGCTTCCCATGGCACTTAAAATGCTAATTCCAAGTTACCAAGGCCCAGCATAAGGTGGACCTTGCCTACCTCTCCAATAGCATCCGCTGCCACTCTCCCCAACATTCACCTTGCCTCAGCCACTGATTTCCAACAGTTTAAAGAACTGTTCTGCCTAAAAGTCTCTAAAGACACTTTTACCTAGACTCAGAACACTGAATGAGCATATGCTTTCATCGAACAGTTAAATCATAATCTGTCACTAGACATATGGAAAGTTCCTAAAACAATAAGGAAAAGGGTGTAAAGATATTATTTTTTTCTCACTGGGGGAATGCTATGAGTAAAAAAAGTTGACCAAGACTGTTCTCAATTTTCTGTTCGAAAAATATTTTCTCAGAACTCCCTGAAAAACAGGGAGCAGTTCCAAAGCAGATGTAAGAACAATAGTCATCACATAACTTTCCAAGAATATATCTACACCTACATCTACAGGTGGAATTTCAATCCATTTTTACATAAAATACAGGTCAAAGCAAAGAGAAAAGCCTAACAGTTCAGAAATGTTATAAAAGCAAATCAGTTAACAATGCAGACAGTACCTTAAAGAAATCCAAAGTACTCATTGGTGACTACCAGGAATCAACTGACTAAATACAATTCTTCATTACTACAACTCTCTTCAAAAAATCAAAATGAAGATATAGATAAACTAACCTCTCTTTCTTTGATTACTTGACTGAGCCTCATCCTCACTGACATTTTCACCAGGACCATCTAATTTTGTTTCCCGGCTTTCTTTGCTTTCACTGTTATTTCTCTTTTCAACCTTGTCTTCTCGTTCTTTTCTATTTTGTGGCTTCTTATTTCCTTGGCTGATGGCACTCTGACACTGCAAAAAGTTTTTCTGAATGAAATAGTTTTCATGAACATTTTCACTAACATTCAAAAGTTTATGGTAACACCTTACCTAAATATTGCCAAATGATTGACAACTTTGAACAAAAATTAAAAATGACTTATCAAAAGACAATGTTAAAAGTCAAGCCAAAAATTGGGAGAAAATATTTGTTAAGTATTTGACAAAAGTACTTGTATCCAAAATATATAATGAATTCAAGATGCAGTAACAAGAAAACAATTTAAAAATGGGCTAGAGTTGAACTGATGCTTTAGCGAAAAGATATAATGATGGCATATGAAAAGGTGCTTGATATCACTAGTCAGAAAAATGCAAATTAAAACTACAATGCAATACCACCCTACACCTACTAGACTGACTAAAATTAATTTAAAAGGCTGACCACATCGAGTACCAGTAAGAATGCAGAATAACTAGAATTCTCATACATTGCTGGTAGGAATAAAAAGTTTGGTAGTTTAAAAAGTTAACAAATAGCTACCATAATATTCAACCCTCTACTCCCAAGATAAATGAAAGCATATATCCATAGAAAATTCTCTACACAAGTGTTTGTATAGCAGCCTTATTTGTAACAGCCAAAAAGTGGAATCAACACAAATGTCCATCAATAGATGAATGGATAAACACTTATATCCATACAATGGAATACTACTCAGTAATAAGAAGGAATGAACAACTAATACATATTACATAAATAAATCTCAAAATAATTAAGCTGAATGAAAGCCAGAAAAAAAAATACATACTGTATGACTCCACTTACATAAAATTACAGAAAACACAACTTAACTAAGTGTCAGAAAGCATATCAGTGGTTGCCTGGGATGACAGTGGGAATGTAACAGGGAGAATTACAAAGGAGTATGAAGAAACTTTTGAGGTACTGGTTAAGTTCATTATCTTGTTTGTGCCAATGGTTTCACAAGTCAAAATACACCAAACTGCAAACTTTATATATGTATAATTTATTATGTCACTTATACAATACTTAAGCTGTTTTATATATATTATTTACAACTATGCACAAATTACAAACAGCAAAGTGTACAGTGTCAAATGAAAACATGCAACCAAATAACCATGTATGCTACTCCTCTAATATCTTTTGATAGAATATCTCAAAACCATCTTTTAGAGTTTCTTTCATAGCTAAATCAAAAATCCATTCAATGAATATTTCTTGATATGATATACATATATATATGTGTGTGTGTGTGTATATGTGTAATTAGGACTTGAACACATTGAAAGGAAGATAGATCAAAAAAATATATATATATAGAAAAAATTCTGAAACACAAAGTGGGCTTCAGTTACACACATTATATTAAAAATTAATCTATTTGTAGGTATTACGTGAAGATGACAGCATGGTACCCAATCCCTTCCAAAAGTAAGGTCCTGAGAATACAACCAGATGAAGGCAATGTGATGAATGAAATCAAGGTATCTGAAAAAATGGGTATTTTATTAATGCAATTCTCTAAATTTGAAGTAAAACAAATTCCACATGTTGAAATGACAATATTTTCTCTTTATTAAAAATAAGTCTTAAAACAATACTCACTCCAGTGCTTACTAATTCACTTGGTGTTGGCCAATTCGCCATATCGCTGAAATCACTAGCCTAAGAAGTAACAACAACAAAATTTATGTCTGTAAATCAGAAATTTTTTGAAGTGAAAGAAATGTTTTAAATCACCTACATTCAATTGTATGTATTCATTTGTCAAATTAATCTAAAACCTTCTCCAAACAATAGAACATTGTAAGAAGAATGCTTTGGTCTTACAGTCCAATTTCTAATACAATGACATTGACTAAATTGACAGACACAGGGTTAACAAAGGCATATGGGGATTTGGATGAAGATTACAATTCTCTAGTACAGTGACTTTAAACTAACAATGATAGGAAAGAAAAATACACAATAATCTAAGAAGAGTTCCTTTCGAAATCATTATAGTTAAAAACTATTTCCTTTACACTTGATCTTAGCCAAAAGGCCGAGAAGCGATAAAAAAAACTATTTCCTTTGAAGACATACCTTGTCGGATTTCTTTGTCTTAGGTTTTCCTGCTTTTATAATTTTGGGGGAATTGAGATCTAAAAAAAAAAAAAGACTTGTTTTTACAACCATATCATTCCATATATTTAACAAAATAACTATGAAACCAACTTCAGTAAGTCAGTGTAGTCAATATTTTCAACAAAATCCAAAGTTGAGACAAATTCCTAACAAGAAATCAACTACATTTTAAACATAGATTAAAAGTGGTCTTCAGTGTTTAAATGAAGAAGTAGAAAATATTAACAGTTTACTTACACTGAACTGATAGACCAATCCTTTCACTATCAGAACACAACATGGAAAAATTAGAAATATATTTTAATACAGAAAAGTTAGTAAATAAATTCCTAATGGGATATATTTTTCTATACATATTATATACAAATAAATTCACACTCATCAAAGAGCCAACCAGAAAATAAGTCAGAAAACTTCAAACTATTTGTCCTTGAAAACAAAGTTTGGGAACCATAATAGGTTATATCTAGAGCCAAGCCATAAAAAATGGAAACATATCTCTGTAAAAGTCTGTACAAGACTATCATACCACCACTTGTCCCTATCTTGAATAAGAACACCGTGGTTGACACATAGTCTCCAAATAAAGTTTACCTGCCTTTTACCTTAATTCACTATCTAGAATGATGACCAGATGGCATATCATCTAGCTAAACATGGCCTGAAGTAAATATTAAAAAGTAGAATAAACATGGGATCTGCAACTATGGAAAACACAATAATTTAGCAAAACATGAATCCCATAAATCACGGCAGTGACTAATTCACAGGCTAAAATAAAGCAATCTTTGAGTTAAAGCCCAGAAATACTTAACTAAGATAGAGTACTTATGAAAGATGAATGAAGGCTCAAGATATCATCAGGGCTGGGCACACTGGTATCTTGAATATTGTATTAATTCTATTTCTAAAGCAGAATAGTGAGTACATGGGTATTTGCTTTATACTTCTTTATACTTTAGGTACACACATGTGTAAACATGAGTGTAAATGTGCATAAGGATAATTATTTAAGAAAAATCAGTTGCAAAAAAATTACAAATATGATTTAAAAATGAATGTGGTACCATACTCTACCCAGACACTGATGATAATCTCTAGCCAAAAGTGAGTAAAGGGGTTGGAGAGGAAGAATCGATCTTTATTTCTTCACATTTAAAAATAAAAGGATGAGAGATTTTGATTGCAGTCAATTCTTTTGGACTCAAAAACTTCGGACTTTTGTTTAAATTTTAATCTCTCATCTTTTAACTCCTCCTTAAAAAATATAATGGGAAAAAAACCACACTTAACTCTGTGGCCTGTATAATGCCGACATTTTAATAATGGAGTATCTTTATGTACACATTGCAATTTGGATATTTAGTTTATCAATATCGTAATTTATTCTCATCACAAGGTATCTGACAAACTATGTTGGCCAATGTGGCTGAATACTCTGGGATAGGAAAGAGTGATTTCTTAATATTGGTTACCTAATGGCCCTCACAGTAAATTTACTTTTCTGAAAGGAAGACTTTCCCCAGAAAATTCCTGTTCCCAAGTTCCAATTCCTCCCACGGAAATTAAGTTTCCTAATTAGTGAGTTTAGGAAAAGGAATTAAATTTGCAAAGCTAGCACCTTGCCCACTTTTCTTTGGGACCTAGCTGTCCACAGAGAGCAAGCATTCTAATCTGCTCCTTTGTGCTGCCAACTTCAAAGGGCACACTGCCCAACAAAAGTAGAAGGGGAACCTGCAGTTGTGCAACGCCAATTGTGGACATATTTGTCTAATTCCAAGTCCAACAGAAGGAAGTCCTGTGTGCTGCTCACTCAGACCACCTCATCAACCCAGTCTTTTCTGGTTAAAAGGATGACAATGAGCTTTAAAAAAAACAAATCTGAGTAAAAGATAAACAGATGATTCAAATAAGAAATACCAGTGGCCAAACATGAAATGGCACTCAATTGCTCTAAGAAATGTAAACTACAACATTTTTCACCTGTCATACTGATAAAATGGACATTTCTCTGATACTGTTGGAATGAGAGTGAAATAGTAGAACCTCTCAAGAGTAATCAATCATTTAAAATGTACAAACTTTCTAATGAAGCAATTCCATTTCTGGGAAATTATCTGGGAATCAAGACAAGGTACTAAGTTGTCTGTATAAGATACTCACTGCAGCTCTGCTGATAACTGTATTTAAATAAATAATCTCTACATTCAATAATATGGGATAGTTATATTATTGGTACATTTACACAAAATATAAAAATTTTTAGAAATAAGATAAATCTGTACATATTGACATGGAAAAAATCCACCAGGTTTAAAGTATTTTATATATACATATATATTTTATATATACATATAGAACAGATAAAAACAAGCCTAAGAAAAGAAATTTTTCATGTTCCCATGTTCCAACCAAAATGGAGGAAATTACACTGGCATGTCATTAGAGAAAACCTAACACTGAAAAACCAAGACAACCTGAAAAATCTTTAAATAAAGAAATTTTAATTAAGAAAATTTTTTCAGACAGATGAAGAAAACTAAGCTACTAGTGGTCCCAAGTACATATAAATAAACATGAACAAGTGTGTAATCTTCATACTTTAATTTTTCAAACATCACTGGTGAGACATCATACAAATACAACTTTTCTTGCATATTATTCTAACATCTGAATCTATAAGAAGCTAATTCCAAATAGGAAAACGGTTCATTTTAAGAGCCTGGATACTGAAAACAAAAACCTGCAACATAACAGAGGCAACTTTATTCACTTAAATTTTCATGACCATAATCTTTAGGAAAGTTTCAATTAAGAAAATTCATTGATAGTTATCAATATTTCATATATTTTATTATATTTAAGAGGAAAATGTCATAACATGCTATTTTGCCACAGTAAATAAGTTTTTTTAATGTAAAAAAAACCTACTTCTCATGCTGTAAAAGTGGGAATATCAATTTCACTTATTCTAGAGAAAATCAAACGTGTATAAGACGTGTGTATAAAAATGTCTGAAACAATCAAGATGTTGATCAATACGTAAATGGCTTAACTGACTATGTCAGTTACACTTATGGACCATTTCTCAGCAATTTTTTTGAAGCTGAAATTTAAAATGTTCAACTTCATTTTAAGAAAAAAATGTTCATAACTAAGTATGTAGATGGTAGTTAACTAATTTTATGGTGATCATTTCACAACACACAAATATTGAATCATTATGTTGTACACCTGAAACTAATGTTAATTATAATTATAAAAAAATAAACTAACTGTAAAGAAAAATAAAAGCAGCAACCAATACTTTAAATTAAAAATGTTCTAAATGCATGTACAAAATGCTCTATATAGAAGTAATTGTATAGAAAGGACTGAAAGGGTATTTAGCAAACTGGTAAGATGATTATCTCCTTTTCTGAAGGGATCAAAAGTTCCATTCTTATAAGAACATACTTATGTATCATTTATATAATAGCATCTTATTAGAGTAACAGTAAGCTTATTTGAGGTCTCTGGGAAACACATTTGGAGAAAACAGGATTGATAGGGTCAAAAAAACTAAGGAAAAAAGATTAAAAAAAATCAATATTTTTATACAACATTTCTGTGAATTAAAGAATGAAAATTGTATTAGAAAGCTGATTTGTACTATGCAAAATGTAATCATGACTACAGATTAGTAATTATTAAATACCATATTATGATTTTAATAAAGGTCTCCAAAATAAATACAACTTTAAACAAGGACTGGGGCAGAATTCTTTCTGGTCAGGAGACTGGAATTCAAGATTGCAGTGACACTATTCTAGGCCTCTCCTATGGGGAAGGCTTTGGCTGAATAAAGGGCTTTATCAGGATTACCAGAAAGAGCAATACCCAAGCCAGAACCATCCCAAAAGTGGAAGAAAGTGTGTCAGAAGAGATGAAGAAGTAAAAATGCCTCACTTGCAGTTCAGTTAGAACTGCAGGTTCTAACAGAAAATTCATGATTAGCAGTCCTGAAATATTCCCCTACATTTCCTATAATGTTTCTATGTCTCATAATAAACTTTCTGGCAAAATTTTGTGCACGGAATCCCTGTACCTCATTAAGTGAGTGACAGTAAATTCAGGTTTGGCTAGGACAGAGAGTTTAAGTCTGTTATTACTGCATAATTAATATCCTCTTCTTTCCCTGTCAAGAATGTCCTGATTTACAGGATAAAATGCACAAGTCTCCCACTAACACATTATATTAACACTCTCCTAGTTTGTACCTACTCTAGACCCTAAAGGTCCTCTGCTTCTATTTCATTACTTTTGAGGTTGCAAATTTGCTTAGGTAAACAGGAAGCCAAGGAACGCAGGTTATAGATGGCACTTTGGTATGGTTCTGGCTTGAGTATTGCTCTTTTTGGTACGAGAAAATACATCAGCTATCTGGAGGAGAATCCAAATTGTGCAGTTCTATCCAGCAATCCCACTCCCAGGCATATATCCAGAGGGAATCTTAATTCAAAAATATACATGCACCCCAATGTTCATAGCAGCACTATTTACAATAGTCAAGACATGGAAACATCTAAATGTCCATCGACAGATGACTGGATAAAGTTGTGGTATATTTATACAATGG